TGAACGACGTAAAACTTGTCAAACAGCTCGATAGTTGTACCTACGTGATCTTATATTCTAAACTGATTTTAGAAATCGGGAGAGACCGGTAGCCATCTTGTTCATTAGCGCGTAAATCAATAACCGTATCGACACGTTTATCCAAGAAACAACTGGGGATTTCCGTCTTTTTAACGATGAGATCACGCCCGCCGAGGCAGTCCGTTTGTTTATAACAAACAAAGTTACAACGCAATAAACCGCTTTAGATCGTGGCAACTAGCCAGGCATCAAACTAACGGTTTCATTACTATCTTTTTCTTCCAGCTAAGAACATTTAATTTTATTTTTTTTACGTCCTCGTTATAGGGAAAAGTAAGGCACCTAGCTGTATTTAACTTCGTAACAAAAAATCGGGTCGCGAAAAGAAGAAAAAACAATTTGCACGAGATTAAATCTCTTAATTGAACTTCAGGAAAATGACCAAACTTTTTTGAAAAAAATTCTTTCGCTCACGAGAATAAAGTGAAATTGAAATTGAAATTAAAATGAAATCCGTAAAAGACATACAAAATGTAGTTATGAAATTTTATTTTTCAAAATTATTTTACAGTGAAAATTATTTTTAAAATAGTAAAAACTATTATTTTTAACAATTTTAACAAATACGAAGTTATTCTATTTGGTCTGTCTTATATAAAAATTATGTTAACTGTTAATTTAGGAACTTACCATATTTATAAAAGGTTTGAATTATTTTAACACACACACACACACACACACACACATAGAATATAAAATAGTTCAAACCTTTTATAAATATAGTAAGTTCCTAAATTAATAGTTAACATAATTTTTTATTTTTATTTATTGCAATTCTTTAATTTAATTTTCATTTATTATAATTTATTATAATTTTATATTTTATTTATAATTATTTTAACACACACACGTATATACGTATGTATATAAAATAATTCAAACCTTTTATAAATATGGTAAGTTCCCAAACTATAAATATATTGTATTACACACACGCGCGCGCGCACACACACACACGTAGTTTGTCATAAAAAAAATCACTGTGGTGTGTCATTTTTTTTATTAACCTAACCTAAATCTAAATCTAACCTAAACCTAACCTAATTGCTCGAAACTGAATTTGAGGATCTACATAGTAAACACAGAGTCATATAAATTTCATGATTATTATTCAATAACAGTTCAGCGCGTGTGTATATTTAGAAAATTCATAATATTTTTAGACGCGGATAGATTAGAGAGCAAATAGAATGCTGGAGGAAGAATTTCTTCCCAGACGTTCGATGGAAATAGTGCAACTTTGTTCTAAGAAGTTTTTTTTTTTCATACAATAAAAAATATGGCAGATGTTAGAGGGTGATCCACATTTCGCTGAGCATATGATTTATGATCGTGTGTTCTCCGTTTCATTGTTTGTTAATTTTTAAATGGAATTTAATGGATTGTGCGATAGCTGGATCTTCTACGAATAGGGCGATTCTATTAGATCCCTTAATGGATTTTTAATCCGCGTTGTTCTTAGAGTGTAATGGACTTTTAATTGCTATTTTCGTTTAATTGGTTTCTCTTTGAAGCGAATAATATCGTGACTACGCCATTTACCATTTTTTTAATACTGTTAATCTTTAAGTAGGACGTTTATGCACATTCGTCATCTCTGTGTATTTTAGAATTCGAAGAACTGTATTTTAGAACTAGAAAATATTATAATGTTATAATGTTTTCATTATAATGTTATTGCAATGTTTTTCTTCCACGTTGAAGCAAGAGCTACATTTTCCTGAGGAATTATGAGTTAAAAGATTATATGGTGTAATATTTAATTTTTGCTTCGTATAATGAAACTCAGTTTTTGTAATTTATATTATCCTCTGTTGGATAATGGAATTTTAATGTTAATACATTCATATATATATATATAT